GGCGGGGCGGGGGAGGCTTCTCTCTAATTCATATTGCCTGTGCGCCTCTCCTTTAGGATAAGGAGAAGAAGAAGAAGGAGAGTATCTTGGATCTCTCCAAGTACATCGACAAAACGATCCGAGTGAAATTCCAGGGTGGGAGAGAAGGTGAGCCAGGGCTCGGCCCCGAGCCGGAGATGCGGCCTGGGCCTCTGCAGCATGAGGTTTATTTTGCATTTTGGCGTTTTTTCTCGCTCTTTGTTTGTGTCCTGTGTGATCGTTGCTGTCTTTCGAGGAAGGATGATGAGTTTTATTCGTTACTGTTTGATGCTACCGGTGTGAAGCTTGTCTCCTTCAGCTTTTCCGTTAATCCTCTGGCTGCAGTTTTATCTCTGTGTTTCACCCGTGCACCTTTCTTTCATTTTCTTTTATTGGTTGCCTTCAACTGCCTTGTTTCTTTTGACTGTTTTTTTCTCATTACAACGGTGCGCTTAAAGCAGCAAAGAAACCTTTATGGGTGTTACGATTAATATACCAGTCATCTCTTAATGTACTAAATGTGCCTGGAGCTCACAGATTGTTTCCATATACTTCGTCATGGCTTTTCATCCCCTTCGAGGCTTTCGTGTCGTCATTCCCCTCCAGCCCCTCACCCCTTTCTTGCTCCCTTGCCGTACCTGCAGCTCTCCATCTCCATCCTGCAGACCCCTCGTTTGTCTGAAAGTTAACAGCATGCTACGTGGGAGATGCTTGGCAGAAGCTTTTGCAAAGCAAGCTTGCTTTGCTTTTAAAAATCTCTTTTAAAAACTGTACTAGGACCTGTTGCTTATGAGGTTTTGGAAGTTAGTTGGGCTCCTTACTGATAAATGTGGGTTTTGGAGGGGGGTTTTTGGGCAGTTGACAATTCCATTGAATCCATTTGTTTAGATTTCCTTCTCAGAAAACTCATGCCAAGTTCCTTTACGATCTTCGTGTAACACCTGCAATTGTGGGAATCTCTTCTTAGATTTGGGCTGTTAGTAGGGATAGTAATGTTGGTAATCAACAAGTGCTTTTCAAACTAGGAATGATTCTGTGTGGTCTTGCAGTTTATTTTGTGACCAGCATTGTGGAATCATGTTCTAGTTTAGGACAAAGTGCTTGACTGTCTGCAGTGCACTCCTGTGGAGGCAGTGCTTATGCTAAAGAGATTATATTCCAGGAGGGCACCTGGAAAATGGGAAATCTGAGGAAAGTTCTTCAAAATATTGCAGTCTTACCTCATTTTTTGCTATATCCCTTTGCTAGTGGTATTTATTTGGTTTGGGCTTAGCTTCATTTTTTTTGGTGATGTGACTTGTATTGATTTGTTAAGATGAAATATTCTTTAAATGCCCATGAAATTGGCTGAAAACAAAAATGTCGATGTCCTGAAGAGCATTTTGAAGAATTGGTGAAAAAGCCCGTAAGCTTCAATTGGCACAACACAAACTGGGTTCTTGTGCATTTGCATGTGATAGAGGGCACTCTTTAATACCTCTGGTCTCATTTGCTTGATAGTCTTGACTGAAGGAGGAACAGAGCCAGAGAACTGAACGTGTTTTTTCACACGATCTTGTATACCTGGTTTTGGTCTCTAATCATTGTTTTGTGTGTGGTCTTCAATAGCAAGTGGTGTCCTGAAGGGATTTGACCCTCTTCTGAACCTTGTGCTTGATGGTACCATTGAATATATGCGAGGTAAGTAATGCAGTCTCTGCGTAAAACTTTTAAAATTTGTTTTCCCCCTAAGAATGATTTTCTTAACAGAAATCATACAGATCTGTGAGTGAATAACCAAAAACTGCAAGTTGACATCATCCAAACTGAGACATGTTCATGATAACTAAGTTGTAAAGGAAGGGATAAGATAACAGCAGTTAGGTTAAGCATGTTCCCTGTGGTAGAAGGTTCTTGGTAGTCCTTGCTTGAGCTCCTCTATAAATCCTTTGCTGCTTGCGTCCTCTGAAGTGTGAACGTAGTAGGGTGTCTCTTCAGATAAAGCAGTTGCCTTTGCTTTTGTTTATACTGCTCAAGGGTTGCTGATTTGCTCAAAGCAGGAAAAGCATCTCAGCAAGAACTAGTATCTTAGTGTCTTAAACTCTACTGTAAGTGCCATCTTTGCCTCTCTGTGGAACTAAAGCCTTCTGTAGCTGCTTAGAGCTAATAGAGCTGTAGGGTTTTTTCTTATTTGTTTCTCTTTCCCATCCAAGGATAAATATTCTCATTTCCCTTTCTCTTCTCTGAAACAACATTTATCTTGATAGACACAATTTTTAACAAGTATTCTCTTGCCTGCTTACAAGGGAAGTACCTGAAGCTTTAATTTTGCTCTTAGAAGGGAGTTTTAAAAGATGAGTGTAGTGCATTTTTATTGAATATATTGACATCCCCTGGAGGGTAGAATTGGCTATTGCTGTGTTAAGTGCCCGTCCTCCTCCATAGCCTGGTTTGGCTTGGTCTGGGAATGGACCAGTGCATTGCATACTTAATGTATTCCAAAGTCAGGGTCGTCTTCTGATTCACATTGTTCCCAAAATGTTTGTCTAAAATGGCATTTGAAAGGGGATCAGGAGCTTTTCCAGTCACCTGTATGTATGCTTTTGGTTAGATGAATCAAAGACCTTTGAATTTTTTTAAAGATACGTGTTTTCCCTCACATACATAGTGAAGTTCATTATTGCTCGCTGTGGCATGTGCTATTTCTGAAAATTAATAAATCGGTAATGCCTTGAAGGCATCAGATATTACTGCTGCATCCTCTTTATAGTCCATGTATTCAATATAACAATGCAGAAATGCCTGGAAAAAACCTGTATGACTGTGCCTTTTGAAGTGGGTGGAATTTGGTTTCTTTTCCTCATGTTGCCATTGTAACTGTGAATCTCTGCTTTTCAGATCCAGATGATCAATACAAATTAACAGAAGACACACGTCAGCTGGGACTTGTGGTCTGCAGAGGGACTTCAGTGGTTCTTATTTGTCCACAGGATGGAATGGAAGCTATTCCAAACCCTTTCATTCAGCAGCAAGATGGCTAATGCTTTCTTTGGATTGTCTCTGAAGACTTCAAGGGTGCAAATCATCAGAGAAAACTATGAGTGTGTGAGAAGCTTCCTGTTTTGGAGGAGGAGTTTGAATGTGTATTTGGTAGTGTGAAAGAACAGTCAACATTTTTTTATTTTTGTGACTTTCCATAAATGATGAGAGGATGGGGTGTGGTATGTAAGAAGTAAGTTCTGATTCCTGCCACCCCCGCCAAATAAATGTGTAACTACATTGTTTAGAGCCGACAGAAGAGAATATGTTGTCATGGAATTGTCTGAGACCCTCTTGATCTTTGAGTTTTGAAACAACCACATAAAATTAGTAAAGAATGCCCTCAATATTGGTTATATTGTTTACATTTTTAAATACATTTAAAATGTATTTAATCTAAATTAATCTAAAGCCTAAATACATTAGAACTTGTTTTCTTCCTCTCAGATGTCAGTACTCAGCTGGGAAGCATTGTGTTGTAGTCTTCCTGCTGTTGAGTTCAGTCTCCTGCCTGCTTGCTCCAGTGCATGCAGGAAAATTACTTTCCTTGTACAGTACCTTGTCATCACCTTTACAAGCTGTGGAGCCAAGAAGTTCTTTCCTAACACTTGTTCCGGATCTTGTGGGCTGTGATCTGTGCGTCAGAGTGCTCCCACATTTCTGCAGCAGAAGTGGAGACTTAACTTTTAGGGTGATTCTTGGCTGAGTGACATGAACCTTATGGAAGTATCTATTTGATACTTGGAATTTTAGGGGAAGAATATTTAAGATCCTAATGTTCAGTTGTAGGCAGTGTCTGGAAATACTGCATATCTTTTTATATTGTAGCTATCCACTTGTGGTTATGCTTGTTATAACTTGATTTGTAAGTAAGCATTTTTATTTCTTTTATACTGCAGAAACAGCAAGATTTGAGGACCTTTGAGTGAATAAATACAAATTAATCTGTTCCTAAATGTCCTGTTTTTCAGTCTGCAAAAGTGCTCTATAGCTGACATTGCAGTTCTCCACAGTTGTAAATGGAATTTGTTCAGGAGGTGTGTACATAGAGCAAAATTGGAAGGAACCAGATCAGAAGCTGTGTTCCACTCAAGACAGAAAATTGGTGAGGAATGACTGAGGGCATCTGTCCCTCAATGAGGACTTGTGCATTTCTGTTAAGCATTTTAAAGCCTGACTAGGAGTTACGTGCCCCTAGCCTGCATATTACATGTTTCTGCCACCTGCTTTTCCTGAGGACCCTTTGCGAGGAGGCTGTGGCAGAGCAAATTGTTTTGGTGGCAGCAGCAGTCTTGTTCCTAGAGGTTGTCAAGAAAACATGCCAAGGACAGATTGTATTGGCTGTTCACTTTGGCAACAGCATTGTGCTCCCATTCAGAGCCTCTCCTGGGTCAGCTCTGACATAGATGGGAACTTGAAGTAAATAAATTCCGGTTCAGTATATCTGGCTTTTCCAGGAGGCTGTGAAACTAGAGACCTATGTCTGTGTAAACTCAAGTGCTTCTGGATTTTAATCTCCCAGGGGTTTGTTATTGGAGCTCTTCAGAGTCATGTTCCTTCCAACATTTTTTTTTTTTCTGACACTACCACACTTGTTCTCCATGCAGTGGCTCAATTCAAAAGAGGCTTCTTATTTAGTGTTTGGAGCAGAACTTGCTCGCCATCAGCCTGAGCAGTCTTGAACTGTCCCTCAGGTGGGAGTGAGTGCTGGTTGTCAATACCAATAACATGCTGCAGCATCTCTGCACTCTTGTTTTCCAAGTGTAGCATCAGAAACTTGTGTTGGGAGCTCTTGAGTGGGTTCCACACTCTGGGTGCATAGAAAGGGGACAGAGGTCTGACTGAAGTCATGTCTTGAGTGCACAAACTGGAGAGGGGCATGTTTTCAGCATTTCCTGCTCTGTTAAGGGGTTGCTCAGTCTCCATTGCGTGATGCGTGGCTGTCCTTTTGTGCAGTGCAGACTTGTGGGTTGTATTTGGGAATCAAGTACCTGAAAAGAAGAATGGAAATGATAAGGGACAAACTTTATAGCAGGGCCTGTTGTGACAGGGCAAGGTGTAATGGTTTTAAACTGAAAGGGGATGGATTTGGACTAGATATAAGGAAGAAATGTTTTACAATAAGGGTGGTGGAACACTGGCACAGGCTACCCAGAGAGGTGGTAGATGCCCCCAGATCTCTGGAAACATTCCAGGCCAGGTTGGACGGGGCTCTGAGCAACCTGCTCGAGTTGAAGATGTCCCTGCTCGTGGCAGGGGGTTGGACTAGAGGAGCTTTAAAGGTCCCTTCCAACCCAAACTATTCTGTGATTCTGTAGCTGAATTTTAAGTATGTATATGCTTTTCTGTTGGAGTTAATTCCTAAATCTGACTCTTTATTAAACCCATTTCTAACAGCAGTTTCACAGAAGTATCTTCCAGAAATGCAGGAGGGAACTCTAGAGGAAAAAAAGTGTTCTCAACCCAGGTAGTGGAGTTCAGCAAGCAGAATTGCTAAGAGATGGGACTGAGTCTTGCTGGGATGGGCTCTTTGGGATAAGGGGCACTACTTCAAGGCCACTGTGCAAATCTCTCCCTTTAATAGCTTGGTCTAACCACTTTGGAAAAATTCCCTATGTGGAATCAGTGAGCTGTTGCTTGTACTGTGACTATTTATGTCCTGCATCGAGATTGAGGGGGACTGAATATGTGACAGCTATCTGGGTTTGAATGGGGGCTCATTCCTTCCCCCCATCTCTTATTAAAGTATAAATATATACTAAATGCTGTGAGTAATCTGGAATTTGATATTAAACTTGAACTGATGAATGCTGTGGCATTGGGGAAATCAGGGTTTAAGTTTCAAGCTTTCCTAGTTTTGATTTGCAGGAGTGAAAAGTGTTGTAATGGACACTTTTTTAGAAATGGGTTCAGTGTTCTACAACTTCTGTGTATTTAGTACTTAGGAAGGTTTTGGTTGTTTGTCCTCATTGTAGTCCAGACTCTGAGTGGCTCACAGCTCCCCTAATTCACTGTGGTCTTACCTGGGTAAGGTAGGTGCTAATTAAATCTGTGGTTTTTTGGTCATACAGCTTTCCCACTATTCTGCTCTGAAAGCAGCAGCAAAGACTGAAAAGCAAACCAGGAGAGTAGAAAACATACTCTATTTTTAGGACAAGATTGGCTTATCTTGTGTTTATCCCAGCTAGGGGGATAATGTTTCCAGAGACTTCACACGAGTAAAGGCTGCATAAGGGTTGAGTTAATTTTAACTGCCTGGCAGTCAGCAAGCATGGAGCCTGCACAAGAACTCGAGGAGCTGGGATCTCAGACAGAAATGGTCACAGACACAGTTCTTGAGGTTGGAGAAAGACTCTTTCAGGTCAGCCGTAGGGTACTTTCAGTACACAGTCGTTATTTTGAAGCCATGTTTTTTGGGGGGGCAAGAGAGAGCTCTGAATACCACATAGTGATCCGAGGGATCGATGCGGTGCCTTTTCAGGCACTACTTGAGTTCACTCGCACAGCCCAGGTGCTTATAGGTCCAGAAAATGTGATCAGCTTACTGGAAACAGCTGATTTTTTTCAGTTTGACAGGGTGAAACTGTTGTGTGAGAAATTTCTGGAGAGGGAGCTGCATGTTTCCAACTGCCTGGGCTTGATGACCTACTCGCAGCAATTTGCCTTTAGAGAGCTGCACGTGGCTGCCATGAACGTGGCTCTCACTCACTGGGGGGATGTGATGTGCCAGGAAGAATTCAAGGCACTACCCAAAGAAGTGCTGATGCAGCTCCTAAAAAGTGATGACCTCTTCGCTTCACGAGAAGATGTGGTTTTTGACAGTATTATGAGGTGGATCATGGAGGACCCAGCAACGAGAGAGGAAGACTTTCTGGATTTGGTGGGCGAAGTCAGGGTCACTTTTCTGAGTTTGTCCTTCCTCGATACCTTGGTGAAACGCAGCAAGCGCCTTGGAGAGACAGATACCTTTTCCAGACTAATAAAGAAGTTAGACAGCTGTCCTCCACCCAGCTGGCAAAATACGGAACTGTGTCCTAACGCTGGTCGGAGCTATGACACCCTATATGTCCTGGGCGGAAAGCATGAAAAGGAACAGCAAGAATTATTTCTCTTTCAACCTAAAACAGGGACTTGGCAGGCTTGCTCTCCCCTGCAGCGCAGGAACCTCACCCAGTATGCAGTGGCAGCAGTAGGTAACTCGCAGAACAGTGGGGCTGAGCAGATGCAAAGAGGAGCTGAGGGCTCATATGGGGGGAGTTCAGCTGCTTCTCCTGTAAAACTGCCTTGGTCAGTGTTGCTAAAACCTCATTCGTATTCGTCTTCCTATTCATTCAAAGAGTGGTTTTGTTTTCCTTAGTCCTGGCAGAATGTTAGACGAGGCTGAATATTTCTTTCCATACAGCAGAAAGTATTGAACTCCTTACATCAGCTTTCTCTGGAGTGAGTCTGACGGCTTCACTTTAAGCAGTGTATTTGTTTGGCCTTCTCTTTCAGTGGCGTTTTGACAGGTGGTGAATTCTGGTTTATAGTTGCCGTTAAGTTAAACTTACCCGTGGATGTTGTGAAATTGTCAGGCTTGGAGACTTTGAAGCCAGCTCAATACGATGGCTTCCCATATTTAGATTGGATTTATATTTATGTATTTATGTTGGTGACAGTCCCATTTCACGTGGGAGCTTGGACATGAGATCCCCAGAGGTTCTTTCCAACCACTGTTTCCATGATTCTGTTCAGGAGAAGGAGCAGACTTGGAAGGACTTACTGCATCCTGTAGGCCCAGCCTATATGTGCAGATGAGGAGTCAAATACTGCAAACTGATAGAGAGCAGTAATTTTCTCTGCTCATCTTGCACTTCATCAGTGCAATCTAGAGAGAGATGAGAACCCTAGTTCTCAGGAGCAATTTTCAGCCTTTGTGTAACGGATACTTTTCTCTCCTCTCTTTCCAGGGAGCTTCCTTTTTGTGACGGGAGGATATTTCCGGGATGAGTTTGTGTGGTATAGTGTGGATTGGGTGCTTATCTACAATTGCTTGGACAACAGCTGGCTGGAAGGGCCTGCCATGAAGAAGTCCCGCAATAGCCACTGTGCAGTAGGAGCAGGGCTCTACCTGTACGTCCTTGGAGGGAGCACAGATGAGGGGATAATCCCAGCGGTGGAGCGCATGGCCTTGGTGGAGTCAGAGTGGGAAAGCATGAGTCCTATGGCTCAACCTGTGGAGAGAGGAGATGCGGCCAGCGTGGGAACCAGGATCTACGTGGTCTGTGGCCTGGATGAAAATGGACACGTATATGATGGGGTGCAAAGGCTGAACACAGAGACGGACAGCTGGGATGTCATCTCATTCTCCCCGCTTCCAAGGTAAGAAATAATATTCTGAGACCTGGCAGAAGAAAAAAAAAAAGTTCTAGTGTTGGTCCTGCTCCAAGAAGAGGTTGGGCTGGAGAAATCCAGAAGTCCTACCCACCAACGCTTCTGTGGTTTAAATGGGACTTGATGTGAGGACCAAGGTCACACCGAATATTTCAGGGGCCAGATCTTTCTGTTGATTCTGATCTTCTCTCCCAGGTATGACCTCTGCATCACACCACTGAACGGTGCTCTGTACACCATAGGAGGGGGAGCCTTTCGATTTGATGTGGAGACAGATGAATGGACACAGGTGGATGAGGAATGCTTGACTCAGAAGTTCTTCATGGGGTGCAGCACTGTGAATGGACGAATTTATCTCCTTGGACAGAGGAAGGGGAACAGTGCCCTCCCTGTTGTAGTCCTCTTTGATCCCTACGCTGATACGTGCGAGGTCATAGATAACAAACTCCCTTGCCCCCTTCCTATTCACGGGTGTGTCTCTGTGAGAAGATTTGATACATGGGCATGAGAGATGCCAGATCCAGCATAACTAAACAGTCATGTGCTTTACAGCTGATGGGAGTTAGATCCTGTCAAGTTTAGTCTGTGAAATTTTTTTAATTTGAAAATAAATCTGTTCCTTCATAACTTTCTCTTTTTCCCTGTCTGGTAAATGAACTTGAAGCAAAAGCCACTGAAGCCTTTGCATCTACACAAAGGTTTCAGATCATCACTGGAAATAGCGGTCGGCATTGTTATGGTACATAAACTCCTCAGGGCTGATGCTAAATAAAGGGCTGGTCTGACCTTTGGCCTCTGTGGCTCTCTGTCCTTTGAACAGCTGGCAGAGACGGGAAAGTAATTGCATCAGTATTAGAAAATACTGCAGGAGTGAAATAATAAATCAAATGTGCGTCAAGGGAATCTTCAGCAGGGTGCATGAGCTCTTAGTGCTGTAGGACAGAGCGAAAAAAGAACCCCAGACAAGCACTGCAGTTGGGCCGTACTCAGTATCACTTTAGCCTGAACTAAGCAGGTTTCCCAGGTTATGTAATTACGGCTAAAATTATCTTTATTCCAGGCTGGAGAGCACCACAGAAGGGGGGAGACTCTTCTGGATTTCTGCATTCGGGTATGTGATGATAAGAATTTGCAAATGGGGGCACTGAAAAGTCTTGTTTCAGTTTCCTCAGTCCCCTTTGGGTTCATCGCTGTACAGACCCAGACTAAAACTGAAATGAGGGTGAAGGAGCAGGGACCCGACCGTAGCCTTAATGAAAGACTGTGTATGTGGAAGAGGGTTTGGTGAGCAGAACTGCGGCCTCGGGCCAGCACTAGGGGATGGATCTCCGAGGGTGCTCAGGCTTCCCAGGGATGGAGCGGCTGCCTGGTGAGGCTGCTTGACTGGGCGAGAAGGGGAGGGTGCGCTCCAGGTGTAACCGGTCACCTGTGTTAGCAGAGTCTGTTCTTTGGTGTGGTGCAGCAACACCGAAAGGAAAATCTACTCAAGGGAGTTCCTGAGCTGAGTGAGCATGGTCTGCGGGGAAGGGAAGAAGCCTTAGAAACTGAGAGGTATTGCTTAAAAGCAATCCTACCACTGTGAGAATATGGCAGGAGCTGCTCTGTCCAAGCCTGCAGCTGTGCAGTCCTCTCCGTTCAGGCTGGCTTCTGCTCCCTGACTCTAGTCCATCTCAGCCCCCAGCCGGGCTGTGGCATTGCCAGCTCCGGGAGCCGAGAGCAGAGCTGCTGCCTCCCCTGTGAGCAAGCTGGTGGCACTGAAGGCTGGGCCCGTCCTTTGAGTCTAGTGGCCAGTTGTACTATTGTGCCCTGGATATAAATCCTTCAAAAGCTGAGATTCTCGGGTATCGTTTGGCGCTTGGAAAGAAAGTTTCATCCTTGATGGACACGGTGAAATAATTCCTGGGCAAACCCTTGCAGCAGGTATCCTGGTCTTGCGCTCCCAGCGGAGCACAGCTAGCTGGGGCTAGGCAGCATCCCCCTCAAGGCAGGGGTAGGTGTCTGCTTCTGGCGTTGCCTCCCGCGGGTCTGAACGCAAACGTCCTCCACGGGAGCGCTGGCTCTGTTCCTTCGGCCCTTCTCGTGCATCTTTCCTGACTACGTTTCGCCTTGCACAGGTCAGGTGTGGGAGATGGACCGTGGTTCTTCACAGCGGTCTCTTCTAGTTACACCATCCCTCATCCTCCACCTCTCTGCATTTCCCCCAGTATTTGTATAAAATGTGTCAGACCCCTTGGAAGCATACTCAAAACCCGAGTAGAAAACCTATTTTAAAGAGCGTTTGCAGGTTTCCGTATACTGTTTACATACATACATGCAGCTTTTTCTGTCCTCTGAATTTTCTGAGCCTTTGAATTGGCATTGGTCAGACCTCCAGCAGGTTTCTAAGATTTTCCTACCGATATAAACATATTCTAAGAAACTGCAGCATCATGCAAAAATCCAGGCAAAGTCTTTGGTTGATGTGAAATTCATTTTTACATTGACTTGATTTCTATATACTGCAGAAACTAAAGAACTTATAGTTCTACTATAAATTCTGAAAAATTACATCAGTAATTATTAATATAATTACAATATATTACAAGGTGAAAAGTCATCCAACCCCTAAACTGCCCCATTAACATGTTAGTATTGTAGCACTCTTCTAATTTTGAAAACGAAACCTCAACAAAATGAATACATCCCTGTGAAAAGCTGCCGTTTAGACTAAATTATAATTTCTGGTGGAAAAGCGTGCATTTGGAAGAGCTTCGGCCGCGTTCAGTTTTAGGACCCTTCTCCCCAAGTAGACACGCCGTTAGCAACATCTTTTAGACACACAAGCTATTTTGTACAACTCCTGCAGCGAGCGCAGGTTGTGATCAGTTGGCCAGGCCTCACTTGCAGAAATGGTTTATCCTTCCCCAAAGCCTGGCCGTTTTATTCTATACGACTGAAAACTTATTTGCCGCTTAAGTCGGTGTCTTTGACATGCAAGCCCTTTCCTGAGGGCGATAACTGCTCGTATCTTCTGAAATGCCAAGAGAGTTAAAGCGTCAGCAGTCGCAGTTTATTATCTCGCGAACCTGTGGGAAGCTTTTGAGATAACGGGTTAGGTGTCACACCTTCAGCAGCTTGTTCCACCCCTCTTCCGTTTACAGTGAGACTTTGCCTGGTGGAGGTGTTTTGTTTTTTTTTCCCTGGATAAATGATCGTAAGAGTAAAAGAACGGTTGCGAGAGGAGAAGTGACGAAATCATCTCCTAGAGTGCTTTATAACTGCCTGTAAAAGCTACGGTGAAATTCATTTCCATCTAGAAGTTGGATGATGGAGCCACCTGTGAGCTCGTGTGGCCTCTCCCCCAAGGTCCGATTCGGCATCTCTGCTTTTAAGACTCTGCCCAGCTCTTGGTGTCTCGCAGCAGGACCCGTGTTACATTTAGCTCTTGGGCAGATCCTCTGCTTCGCTCCTCTCGCTTTCCTCAGTGTCGCTTCTGGCGTCTTTTCTTTTCTGTAGGGAAGAAAGACAATGAGCTGCCAAACCTATGTTATGCGAAATAAATTATGCAAAAATTATTCAAAACCTATATTGTAGTATCGCAGGGGGCTAGTCCTGTTTTCAGTCGCAGCGCTGGTGTGTTAACCTGACAGCTAGAGTAAAAACAACACGTGATCGTGTCCTTAAAGCCAGTGGTGCAACTGTCCCTGCACCGGGAGGAGGCCTTCAGCTGCCAGAGGCTGACTTTGCTGTGGCTTCACCTAACTTTTGTCACCTTAATAATGCAACGTCACCGTCTGAAAATAAGTTCTATAACTACATATAGTTATTTTGCACGTTTCCCTTGTGCAGTTTATTACTGTCAAAGCTCTGCAAGTCAGCACGTATTTGCCCGGTGAGCATGCTGACTGTCTCCTCGTTTTGCAGTCATCTGCAAACTTGATGAGAGTAGTTCCATCACTTCCTCTAGAAAAACTGTTTTTCTCTTAATTTAGCTTCAATGAAGGGGCAGTTCAAGGTAAGCTGAAGGCATAACACCAACACTGTGGTGGTTTTGTTGTTTTTTTGTTTTTTTTTTTCCTGGCCACAGATCCCCAAAGCCTTCACAAAACTACTCGGAGCCTGCCAAGATGCCTTCTGCTGCCGTCAGCAAAGCCGGCCAGGGAACTGGCATCTCGGGGGACAAGGTTTCTTCAGTGATCCCTGTGCAGACTCTGCCCTGCATCGAAAGCCTGTGGAACGCACCCAAAACCCAGAGGTGCAAATACACAGCGTGCTGTCTGCCAGGCTTACCTAACTGCTCCTTCCTTACTCTGCTTTGGCCAGACCAGCAGGTTCCCAGTCTCCCACACCACATACTGAGAAGCCGTGAGGAGAAGGGACCATGGGTGGCTCCGGTGTCACCAGGACGCAGCTGCAAACTGTGAGCGAGCCGCTGCTCTGCCCTCTGCGAGCAGGGGTATCCACACAGCTCCCAACACATGAAGTCAGAAGCTCTGGCTGTTGGGCCGTGCCATTTCTCCCACCCCTTCCCTGCAGGAGTCCCCCCAGGATCTCGTGGTCTTTCATGGGGAGTGGTGGCACGGAGGAGACAAAGATTTTTTCATACCGCGCCATGGAGGAGGACACTGAAGATCATCTGGATGATCAGATAGGACCAGAAAATGTGTAACAACTGCAGGATCATCAGGAAAGTGTTGATCAGGCAGCTTAGGAGGAACAACTGGAATTTTGTCACGAAGTAATAGTATGTGCTGTGGGTGAGAGAGGAGGAGAGACAAATCAGGACACGCAAGACTAAACCAGGACATTTACCTTCAGTCTTACAAGGGTCAAGCATCTTTCCGGGCAACTCCTTGGCCCGTGTGAGCCCAGTGCAGAGCTGAGCTGTGCTAGGCCTGCGCCATCAGGCTTCACGCTCTGCCCAGCTCTCACAAAGCATGTCCCACCTCCCGGGGGGCCTGCAGAAACTCTCCTAAAACCATTAACAATGTGAGAGTCTCTGCAGACAGGTTGGTCCCAGGAGCAGCAGGAACAGGTAGCATCTCCCCTAAAATGAGTCTGGAGAGGAGCAATGGACAAAAATTAAACTATAAGGGGACCTGACCACTGGCGCTTAAATAAAAAGGATTATAAATTCATTTTTTAACTGAAGTTTGGGAAGAGTTGAGGGTACGGATGAGCAGTTGGGCAGGGCATTATTTCTGGCAGGAGTCACAGAAACTCTCTATCATCAGTTAGCCGGGGACAGAAAGGAGGAAAGCACGGGTAGAGCAGAGAGCAGTGCAATGCAGGAGAGAAACGATGGACACTAGTACGTGTCCTCCTCTGCAAGTTACCCAGGACATGAAAGCTAAGACCCACTGGAAGCTGGATCCTTGGATAGACACGACATCTGTTTGCTCTGTTCTTGCCTTCCTAGACATCTGCTTCTTGCTGCTGATGCAGGCAGGTGCTGATCTAGATGGACTCTTGGTCTGACCTGGGACATCTCTTGTCTGCTTTGTCCTTACGTTATGATACAGCAGGTTGAGATATTGAAACTTTTTTCCTGCAGTGGCGTCACGGTTATTCTTGTTTCTTTCTCAGGAAAGTTGCCTCAAGCTTTTATTACTTTTCCGAGGGAGCCATTTCACCCCCAGAATCTGGGACTGGTTATGCAAAGTCACGCTCAAA